GCCATTTAACAGACTTTAAAATCAACTCCAGATGTAAGCAGACATATCACTGGATGGTTTATATGAAAAATGGACTATAAATAATAATAGAATTTCATATCAGAAGTACTAGAGCTCCCTTATAAATGCTATAAATGCTTCCCTGTATAAGAATACATGCAGCTAACCTTATACAAGAAGATGGCTGTATATGGTAATTTTAAAGTAATTTATTTTGGAGGTTCAAGCACTCAAAAAATGACTAAAAGCTAGAATTATGCTGGTAAATGCCATTTCAATTCTGCCTTCTTACATGTGGGAATTGACTGATGTCAAGAGGCTGCAGTTTCATTCACAGCCTTTATGAATACTTCTCTGCAGTACAGAAATAAATTTTCATATAGGCTAAGGTAATTTCATTTGTACAGAGATACTCAGGACCACAGTTCAGCTCATCATATAAGATATAGCAAGACAACTGAACCTATAGAATGCCAAAGAAGTGTCAGAAAATTAACAGAAAAAAGGTATTGCAAAGTAATAAAGGGAATGCAAAAAATTTTGTTTGTTAGTTTCAACTAAACCTCTAAAGAATTTTCAGAAGACCATCAAAAGGCAATTCTGAAATGCAAAATTAATTCCAGATTTCCATTCCTCTTTGTGAAGAAGCAGCAGAGCTCTTGAAAGTTTAGGAAAACTCCTGTAATAAAGATACCTCTTCTTTCTGAATTCAGCTCTGAAAAAAACACATGCCATTTTTCCTTAAAATTTCTTATCAGAAATACCATGAGAAGTAAGAACACTGCCTGAGCAATTATCCATTGCGTAAAGACATCAGGAGGATTTAGTAGGGCAGAACCTGTGATGCATCATGGGAGATGCAGTCCAGGCGACACGTCCAGTTCGCCAAGAATAATGAAAGCATGCAGCACCCCAATCCCATGTCCCATCAGGCGTCCACACAGCTATGGAAAACACGTGAATCTCAAATAGGCAGAGGCTAATCTTCCTCATCAACTTGTTCATCCAAAATACTCTACACATATCTGCTATCTTATCAACAAATTGATCCTTTAATTTTCCAGGTGGAATATTGAAAAGTGGAAACTAGAATTTCTATTAAATCATGTGCATTATTATTAACAGTCTTTATCCTAGTTTCAAATACATATTAAAACCAGATAAAGTTAAAAGACTTAACTGTAATTTATACTACCGGAAGATCAGAGCCAGGTACTGCATTTAACTGCAGATAGTATGCCTCCATACCAATGTAATGTATGCACATATACATATTTTGAATCCACTAATGAATTCAAATTTTTATGATCTTGTCTCATCAATACCTGCGTTATACTGCAGGTCAATAGTTATGATGTCAATAGTTACACAGATACAAAATATGTCTTTTCAATTCACTGTTTCTTTAATTTTAAAATCCAATTTGAAACCACAGGACACTAGCTATTATAAAGTTATGCATTAAAATGTTTTTGTTTACATACGTGTAAAAGGTAAGTCTCTAGAATCTTTAAGAGCCAAAATTGTGAGGAATCCTTTTTTTTCATTATGTTACTTAGTGTTTTATTTACAAACAGAAACACCTTAAGTTTTTACTGAGAAAAGAAAAAAAAATTATAATATCCTATCAGCTATGCACCTACACAATCCACAAAGATACAGATAGAGGCTTAAAAAATCCTTTGACAATCTTCTAAGATAAGTTAACATCAGCGAGATATAGTAAAAAAGGACTCAGTCTTGTTCATTCAAGCCTGTCCTGGAATGATGCAAGTTACATTAGTAAACATATATTGCATCAGAAAAAGCACTGCTTTATGGCTTTGTTTAATTAAACTGGAAAATAAAAAAACTGGGACAGGATAATTTATAGCAGATTAAAGCATTGCTGAGGATCCTTTTTATACTTTGACAAACCCAGATGAAATGTAATATTTCACAAAAATTCTGTGATATAATCGATTTTACTAACTCTGGAATAATTTTGAGAATCTGCTGTTAAATTAAAACCTTAACACTCAATTTAACTGACATAATCTCGCTCTACAAAGTCTTAACATGAAGCCTGCAGATCACAGAGAATATTTTCTGTAAAAACTTAAAGTTACGTCATCTTTAAAAGGAGATACACTTTTCCTTTGTGGAGGTGAGACCTGAGAGTAAGGGCTTTGGTGTAGAACCAAAAGGAGTTGCATTTTTGTCGAGTGGACTATTCATTGACAAAAGAGCATTACTTAGACCAAGCAGTAAGCGTAGAGAACAGAGAGCGTACTAGTAAGGAAACTGCAATTAGAATGTGGTGGTGGTGCCTCCTACCTTGTACACAATGATAGGAATATCAATGACAATGTAGATAAGGTCTCCTAGGGCCAGGCTGGCTATCAGTGCATTCGGGCCGTTCCTCATACACTTGTTCTGGTAAATGATCCGCAGCAGGGTTGCATTCCCGACCATTCCAACGATGAAAATAGCACAGGACACCACCGTGTTGATGTATTTAAAAGTTTCTGCAATCTTAGTCTGCTGGGAGCATTTGACAGTTTGGTTGGACACCAGGGGCTGTCTGGTGGTGAGGAGAATGCTGGATTCCATCCCTGAGAAAGTGGAAAGGTGGGTTCCCCAGTCACTCCGATTGGCAGCGTATCTGTCAGAGCTGTCACTGAGGACAAATCCTGGAACCAGCAGCAGCAAGGAAATGCTGAAACACAAGGCTTCCATCCTGAACTCCCAAAAGAGCAAATTCAGCAAGACAGTTTTTTCAGTTATTTCAGTGAGATACTTCTCACTTCTTCACCTGCAGAGAGAAGCGACAAGCAAAAACAAAAAAAGAAGGAAGAAAGACAGAATCAATGCAACAGGTAGACTAACACACCCTGTTTCTCACACAGGAAGGTGTTTGAATGTGCAGTCTCTACGGCACATATGTTTATAATCACTGTGCTACTCTGAAATCTAGATTACCCACATTAACTCTCTGACAAAAGGTACACCAAAAATTCCAGAACTAATCGATAGTTTATACAAATGAGATCCCACAAAACCCTGCTGGTTTGAGACAGAATTTCTATATGAATGGAAAAAATACGGTGAATGAAGTTCTGCTCTAAAGTATAGTCTTGCCTTAACAGTGTACCAGCAAAGAGAGGCCTCGGAGACTGCTGAATGATATTTTAGCTAAAATGAAAAGTTACTATTTTTTCTTTGAAAAAGTAAGGTAACAGCACTGCATTAATAATTAAAGGTAGTAAATTTGTTACTTTTCTGAGTATTTTTGATATATTGCAACAATGAGGCTTTACGTTATTTTTTTCTGACTTTATAACTACCTGAATTTCAAATGAAGACTGAAAATACATGTATTTCAAATCAAATTTTGGACCACATCCAAAGTCCCTAAATATTAGGAGGAAGACTTTTATAATCTCAGGGTGGACCTCTGGCCAGGAAAAGCCCTTCAAGCTTGTGTCATTTTTTTGGTCATTTGTGTCAAATGACATAAACATGTGTCATTTGGTTCCTGAATGTCATTGCAACTCACGTTCAGTAGTCACAGCGAAACTAATTACAAAAATGTAAGCTCTTTTAAAGAGAAAAAATATTCATTTTAGTATTCTAAGCAACAACTCATGACATTTCCAGATAGGAAAGGAAGCATCATCGCATTGGGTCTCAGTAAGTACGACTGCCTGTATGTAGTAACCACCAGACAGATACTACACCGCCAGTGAAACCAAGGAGGCCACTCAAGTCCATTTCCTTGAAGCCTCAGTTTAATTTAAGATAAAAGGTTTTTTTTTTTACATGGCTCGTATCTGCAAAACAAAACAAAGTGCTGCAGTGTTGCCAACAGAAGAATAGAAAGTAAAGTATTTTTAACTTCCTGATTTCTAGGGACTCCCATGATGGATTTGGGAGGATCCTTTTAAAGAAATGAATCCTAATTTCATTCCCTATGGGGCTGTGAAGTCAGAGTTTATAGCAAATTTACTAGAGAAAGAAGGTGGGAGACAGTTTACTGATGGGACTTGTGGGGGCAGGCACAGTGTAAATACCGACTACTGTTACCCTCTGTAGCAGTGTGTGTGTACCTGTGCGCAGCAGGAAAGGCAATGGTAACCGGAGTTTTCCTGTCTGGCATGCAGAGGGCTATCCCTCACGGACCAGCGATCCACATCTTTTATATACAGTCTTTTATATGGGTGTGTTTGAGACGAGGGTCTGACCAGCTGTGAGCTCCTGTGCACTCGATTTTAAACTTTAATAGGCTAAATAGCAAATCCTTCTTTATTAAATGCCAGTTACGATGGTATCTCAGGGCAGTTAGCAACAGTTTGCATGATGTAAGTGCTTTCCCTTTCAGTTTCTAAATCATATCAGAAACAACAGACATATTTGACTGTAACTCTTTTCAGGCAAGCATTAATACTTCTATTATTTGCTATGACTATGGTTCCCCAATATACAGATGGAAAAACTGAATCACTAATGGTTCAATTACTTGTCCAAGTTCATACTTGCCCAAGTAAATGTGATACAGCTATGAACAGAACCCAAAAGCCCTATGCTTTCATGGTTATATTAGTATCCTTCTTACTTAATGACCTTTTCTTGTGAAAATTTGATATATCTGTCATAGGAACATGGTGGTAGCATGGCAATCAAGCAGTCTGCACGCAAAGCTAGGAACAAAATTGACAATTACCATCTCTTCCCTCTCCCGGAAGAAACATTTCCATAAGAAGCAAAACTAGAAAATCTGTAATATAATAATTTCTGAGGATATTTTCTTTCGGATTCCTGACAGTCCTTCAGTCCGCTGTGCATATTTTCGAAGTACATCTATTACAGCACATCACGCACAACCTGCCTCATCTAAGTAACACACGAGCATCCCTCATCCCTTTTTGTAATGACGTCATCTAGCGTTCTCCTCCCCGTGCAAGCCGAGCACACCTGGAGGGCGGGCGGT